ACCTTCCTTCCGAGGAGTGGCTGGTGGGTTTGAACTGCCAGCCTTCTGGTTAGCAGTCAAGTGCCTTAGGCACTATGCTACCAGAGCTCCTAGAAAAAAAAAAGAGGGGGAAAAAAAGCACAATTCTACCCAGCATATAACCCAGAGTAAGATGGAAAATTGTGAATCTGTTGTTACAGATTTTGATTTCATAATTTTAAGATATGTATTTTTCATACAATGTGCCCCCTAAATACTAGCTAACTGCTTTAATCTAGTACTCAACGAAAGAAAACGTTATTCACTCCAAGACTGAAAATAGTTTAAGATCTTCTGATGGCATATCTGCATCCACCATGGCATCTTTCTGTAGGACTGTATTTTTTTTTTTAAAGATAATTTTACATAGACATACGTTTGACTAAAGCACAGTCTTTTAAAACGCAAGATATAATTCTATAGCTATGCTCTGGTGGCATAGTGCCTAAGGCACCTGACCGCTAACCAGAAGACTGGTGGTTCAAACCCACCAGCCACTCCTCAGGAGGAAGATGGGGCAATCTACTTCCGTAGTGATACTGCCTCGAAACCCAAGGAGGGGTCACTATCAGTCAGGTCTGACTCAAGGGCACATAACAACAACAATTACTAGCCACTAGACATAAAACACGTCACTTCTGAGCTCTAGACAGGTGGTTAGTTTGAAGTGAGATGTGCTGTAGGAAAACAGACACACCAGATTTCAAAAACTTAGTATGAAAAGATGGTAAAATATCTCATAATTTTATACTGATTATGTACTGAAATGATAGTATTTTGGGTATACTGGGTTAAATAAAATTTATTATTAATGTTACCAGTGTCTTTTTACTTTTTTAATGTGGTTACTAAAAAATTTTAAACATGTGTAGCTAACATTATACTTCTAGTGGACAACACTGTACCATAGTAAAGACCCAAAAATACATCATCATAAAACTTCTCAAACAATTATTCTAGGATAAGTAATTTTAACTTTAAGTCACCAGTTCTATACAAGCACAGATAGAGTCATCAGCAAGCAGCATTTACCAAAACTGCTGAAACAAGTTTTTTACAACTGAAAACTATTATTCAGATATTCAAGAGAGTATCCAAAAATTCAACAACAAAAAACTTCTTTATATGGAATGTCTCATTTGTTTCAAAATCTATTTTCAGTATTTCCAGTCATAAATATGTATAAAGGGTTTCATGTCCTATTTTCTTTCAATAAGGTTAGGATATAGATCTAAGTTTTGTGACTAATGCATTTCTAATAAATATTTTTAATGCATATTACAATGGCATCAGAAAATAAACAAGTTATTTTTAAATAGAAGAAAAATTTCATAATCCTTCGAAACAACTTGAGAGTTTGCACTGATTGACATTTGTAAGTATATTTAAAAGCACTCCAAGAATCTATTATACTTACCCATAAAATATACAAACCCTGTAACTTAGCAAATCCACTCCTACATACACTCATCAGAAGTAAGTGTTTATTTCTACAAAGAACATTCACAGCAGCAGCATTTGTAGTCCCAAACAAGAAAGATACTAAATGTCCATTTGCAGTAAAATGGATAGTGTTACTAACAGTTAATACACTCAGCCACTAACAGAAAGGTTAGAGGTTCAAGTCCATCCACAGGTGCCTTGGAAGAAGGCCTGGTGATTTACTTCCAAACAGCCAGCCATTGAAAATCTTATGGAACAGAGTTCTACTATGATAGTTAAGGGGCCACCATGAGTGGAAATTGACTCAACAGCAACTGTTTTTTCTGGTTATAAACCTATAGTGAAATCTACAGATGAATGGGGTGAGAAGGATTGATATCTAAAACACAGATGACACTCACAGACATAACTCTGATCAAATAGCTCAAACAAAAAAAGTATATTATACGATTCTATTTTTATAAAATTCAAAACCAAGAAAAACTAATAATCCATGATAAAAGACAGCAAATACTGGTTTCCATTGGTGGGGCAAATGAGCCTTCTGGGATAGAAGGGTATACTTATATAAAAAAAGCAAGCTAGCACTTTAAGAGTTTCTGCTTGACTCTATGAAAGCTATTAATTTAGCAAAAGTTTTCTTCTTTAAAAAAGAAAACATATATATATAATATATACATTAACTTTTTAAAAAAGTTGTACCAGTAAACCAGATGCCAAAGAGTCAATTTTGACTCATGGTGACCCCATGTGTGTTAGAGTAGAACCGTGCTCCACAGGGTCTTCAGTAGTAATTTTTCGTAAATTTCTTTCTGCTAAGAAGATTCAGGGTACACTGAACCACCAGCCTTTCAGTTTGCAGTTAGTTTATTAACAATTTACATTACCCAGAGACTCCAAAGAGATTATAATTTACTGTCAAAATAATTACTTAAAACTCCTATTCTGAATTTAAGAGCATCTATCTACTTAATCCTTCAAATAAAGTTAATTTCTTTGCAGTTTCTTTTTAATATATTTTTTTAAAAAATTCAACTGTTATCTATTTGTAATTTTGTATTTACATGATAAATTTTCACAAGCAAATAATTCAAAATAGTTTTAAAAAGTGCAATTTTTCCTTTATAACTAAGCTTGAATGTTTATTTCTTCAAATATTTAATTGCAAGGGCAATTTTTATCTATAATTACTGAAGATAACACTAAGTTCCTCAAAATCCAGAGTATCTGATCTTATAATTTATCTCACTAAGGAAGGCTGGGCAATCTACTTCCGTAGTGATACCGCCTTGGAAACCCAAGGAGCAGTCGCTATGAGTTGGATGTGACTCGATGGCAGTGAGTTTGGGTTTTTTTTGGAATGAAGTATTTAATAGAAAAAACTTAATTAATACTTGGGAGTTAATTTACAATTTCTTCTACAGTCCTAGTGTGCATATTTAAGTTTCTTGTTTGCCATCCTGTTCTCCCGGTAACTGACAGGAGGAAGATAGGAAATGCTGCTTTGCTAATAGTGAATGATCTGGAACATAAAGAGGAGGTTCTATTTCAAAAGTTGAATACAAACTACTAGGCAACACAAAAGACAACATCCGTTCCATCCTACAGATTCATACTTCTCAACAAGTAATTATCTGAACCAATTTTCAAAAACAATCTTTGCATTATTTCATGGAAGCACATTATCACAGCTATCCAGTTAATAAAGTAAGTATGTATTCAAAGAAGCTGCTCTCTTCTGCATAACCTTAAAAAACTTACTTTGTTAATGTGTTTATGGGTCCATCCTTTATGCTTCTATTCCAAGCCAGATAGCTGGCAAAAGTTTTTAAAAAGGAAAACCAAGATGCAGGGGAGGTATAAGGATGGACAATAAGAGGTAAATCTTAGATATGGTTGAAGAGGACTATGTTTACCACTGACTTCAGACAAATCAGATGGCATATCCACATGGGGTATGGAGGTTCAGAAGAAAAGGCATCATGTTTCTTGACCAATGACCATCTTAGTATGCATCCTTCCCATTAATAAACCACATGCCAAGACTCTGGGTCTATAAGCAAATGAATTATTATTCTACACTAGCTTAACCACACATGATAATACAGAGAGGGAACTTTGCAAATGGAGATTCAGAGGCAGAATCAGGTGGCCTAGTTGATTATATCTATGGATCCTGATGAAAGACTGATGAAAAAACTTATGACAGCTTATTCCTATAGTAGAAGGTAGAGCTGGCATAGGCAGGAAGGACTTTAAGCTCCTGAATGATTAATGTATATTATGCACTGCTGGGGAGCTCTGGTAGCTTACTGCCTAAGGCACTTGACTGCTAACAAGAAGGCTGGCAGTTCAAACCCACCAGCCACTCCTCGGTAGGAAGATGGGGCAACCTACTTCCATAGTGATACCACCTCGGAAACCCAAGGAGGGGTCGCTATGATTTCGGGTCTGACTCCACGGCACATAACAACAACAACATGCACTACCTTAGCTAAACGGGATTGTTTTTCTCTCTTTTTTTTTTTCCTGAATCAAAACATTCTCTAAAACAGTTGTATACTAAAAAGGTAAAATGTGAAAACCTCAAACATTTAAAACAGGCAAAGGTGATTAGCTGTAAACGAAACAATTTTTTCTCTCACATGAAATTCAAAATTTACCAACACCCAAAAAGATTCAAGGCTCTGGTGGTGCAATGGTTAAGGCATTCAGCTGCTAACTAGAAGGTCAGCAGTTTGAAACCACCAGCCACTCCACGGGAGAAAGATGAGGCAATCTGCTTTTGTAAAGATTTACAGGCTTGGCACCCAATAGGGCAGTTCTACTGTGTCAGTTCTACATGGTCATTAAGAGTCAGAATTGACTTAATGGCAATGGGTTTGTGGTTTGGTTTTTAAGACCGATTCCTCTCCTCTGCCACAAATGTCAAACAACTAGCTTATCAGTATCTGAAAGAAAAATTAAACAACAAAAGCTGGCATAATATTCTTACTCTTCCTGTAATTGGAAAGCATTAACTATGTTTTTTTTTTTTTTTTTTTTTTAGAAAAAAGGAACAATGAGATAAAACATACCTTCTGGATGTGTTTCTCCAAAAGGTAAAAATTATGGGTCCTGAGAACAGCATTCTGAAATAGCTCACAATCCAAATACTTCCTGAAAATTAAGTGAAATAAGTGTTACTTCAAGTACACCTTACCTGAAAGAATTTCAATAGTACATTTTACAACAGAATTATAACTAAAATAAATTATCTCTTTAAAAAAACAACGAAGATATTGCTAGATAAGACATTATCTTAATCATACAAGATTTTCTTAAACATCATTTCTGACTACATCTAATAATCAACCTGCACTACAAAATTATTTATTAAAATACACTATCTATACACATTGTGAAAACAGTCACTAATTCTCAAGATGTAAGAAGTTAATGTCAATGACAAAAGAATTTAAATCAAGGATTATAGGAGAAAAAGTATTAAAATTACCTGATAGTAGTCATCACAGAGTTTTAAATACCTCATCCTTTTCTAGACCACTAGAAATGGAAAATTTCAACTCAAAATTAAAAGCACCTTAAATATAGAAGTGGATGAAAGAATTTAGGGCCAGCAAGAGACATAACCTATAGTTTAATATTGGGTTGGCTAAAGAAACCATGTATTTATCAACAGGGCAATGGACAGTGAAGACAGTTTGTGATAAGAAGGTATGATTTAAACTCCCTGATATCATTATCACAATATTGTTATCAGTCATTGCACTTATATCTTGCTTACATTTCTAGAATTCTCAATTTCTATCACATAACCTACAGTCAGTTCTCACAAATTACAGTATTGCCCAAGAAATAAATCTAAAACTTGAATTCTAACTTCCCAAAATAATGTAGCTATTTTATTATTATTATTATTATTACTATTACCATTATCATCATCATCAACATCAGCATCACTGCATGACCAGTCCCTTTCCGTTTTCTTAAAACCACATGCAGGGG